AAAGCACTCGGTTTATCTTAAGGCATTATAGAAATGTTAGCTGTTACTTTTATCTTTCTCCCTCTGTTGAGCATACCTGACCCCTTGGTAGGCATGAAGGCGAAAAGAGATGAAAAGGCGCGTCAGAAAGCATTAGTTCTACTCTTAGGGGATAGGGATCAGACCTGTGATGTTTACCATAGCAGACTGGTACTTTTTCAACCACTTTTATTCTTAGAGAGTTGTCTAGAATGTGGAAGAGTTATGTGACTTTCCCAGGGTTACCCAGGCAGAGTGTGTTAAAGGTAAAACCTTAACCTAGGTCTTGCTGGCTTTGAGATCAGCTCCCTACACTACTATGTCACACTCTTTTTTACTCTCATTAACAATAATAACAAGACTACCATGAGATAACACTGTTTTGGGGCAGGGGGCTTAAGAGCAGGGAGGGAAGGTAGTTTCTTTTCCTTTTTAAAAAATCAATCAACACTTGTCCTCCCCAGTATATTGGAAAGCGCATCAGATGTGTAGTCAAGAGGGGCCTGGGTTCAAACCCTGCCTCTGACACTTCTAGCTATGTGACTGATGAGGATAGGATCTAGACCCCAAAAAGGAAAAACCGTAGACTTTCCCACATGGCCAAATCTCTGGCATTCCCCTGAGGCTATAATCCCATTCACTGACCTTTCATTGTGGCTACACCCAATCTCTGTTACCTTTCCCTATGGCCCCTGGCCATTTCCCACACTAAATCCTAGCTGGGCTCCATTGTCCAGGTCCCAGGAGTTCTGTTCACCCCAGTTTACTGGCCACTCTCATTCAGATCTTCCTTAGACCCATCCTCCAGTCACCCCAAACTACTTGGCCACTCCTGGGTCCCTCCCACAGTCTTTCTGTATATAAGGTCTACCTTGTCTCCATTAAGATGCTTAGATTCTTAAAATCTAGCCACTGCTTAGATTCTTATAATCTAGCCAATAGCTTATTAATGTTTAGACTCCTTAAGAGTCTGCCCAATATGACAGATGTTCTAATAAACCTTGTCTTTGGCTGAAAGAAGGCTTGGGTCGAATTCTTTCAGGCAGGTTGAAGCACCCCTAAACCCCTAAACCTCATCATGATCATTAGCAATTCATTCAACCCTTCAGAGATTTTCTTGGCAGCTCATTCATCCACTGCCTTTTGTTTGTGACAGATTATTTTATCACTCTCTTCAGCATTTCTACCTGTAGAAAACACTACAAGGTGAGAGCAATTGTTAGGAGGCAAAACAACCTTAACCTTTCTCCCCTTTCTCCTCCCCCTCTCCTCTCATCTTGATTCTTTTCACTCTTCCAGTTTTACATAAAGATACCTGTGTCCTAACTCTGAACTTCCCGGAGGAATGCTTTGTGTTTTCCCTACAGAGTGTTGATGACACACTCCCCACACTATCAGGGCTGCAGACTTCTTTTGCTTTACAAGTAAGTAGCTAGGAATTCATGTTCTGCTGGCAAAGGATCACAGAGACAGGGAGGAAGGAGAGACAGGGGGTGGGGGTGGGGAAGACTGAGAAAGTGGGGAGAGACAAAGATACAGGGGTGAGGACGAGGCAGAGAGAGACAGAGAAAAAAAGAGAAGAGAGAAAACAGAGAAGAAAGGGGAGACAAAGAAAAAGGGGAAAAGCAGAATAAGAGAAAGGAGAGACAAGGGGAGAGGAAGAGGGAAAGAGGAGAGGAGAGGGAGAGGAAAATTTACTCAGAGATAGAAATTTTAAAAGCTCAACATAGCGTAAGGAGACAGGGACAAAGATAGTCTTCCCCATGAAGAAAGTTTGGAAAGGTTAGTCCTATGTGTCTCCTCAATACTACTCACCGCATCTGTCCAACTCCTCCATTCCCACCCCTGCTCCCAACCTCGGTCTCCTTTCTCTTAACAGAAAATCGCCTTTCTGTGGAGTGTTTGAATTGGGGGTGAAAATACATCGTACAGTCAATAAACATTATTAAGACTCTACTCAAAATGCCAGACCCAGTGCTAAACCCTGGGATACAAAGAGTCCCTGCCTTCAAAGATCTTATAGGATAATGGGAGAGGATAACACACAAAAAGGAAGCTGAAATGGGGGGTGGGGATAGGATTGGCTTGGGGTAAAATATGAAGAATAAATCCAGAGGAGTGCAGCTAGGTGGGAAAGGGAGAGATGGCCCACCTGGGCATCCTCCTTAAATGGAAGTTCTGGGGGCCAGTTTTTCACTCTCTACCCTCCAAACTGAGGGAGGGGCCCCGAGGGTAAAGAATACTGACAAGGTGTGAGTTTGTGGGCTGGAGTGATGAAGCAGGATGTAGAGGTTCATGCGACACAATGGAAAAGTGGGAAATGAAGAGATGGAGAGGCTGAGCACCTTCCTGAAATTTGGCATCAAGGGACCAAGGTTCAAATCCTGGGCGTCCTTTAGGCAAATTACTTAAACTCTCTGGGTCTCAGTTTCTTTACCCATAAAATAAAGGTGTTAGGCTAAATGACCTCTAAGGTCCCTCCCAAATCTTATTTTTTTTTTCTTTTTTGCGAGGCAATTGGGATTAAGTGACTTGCCCAGGGTCACACTGCTAGTAAATGTCAAGTATCTGGCCTCAGGCCGGATTTGAACTCAGGTCCTCCTGACTCCAGGGGTGGTACTCTATCCACTGCACCACCTAGCTGCCCCTCCTCCCAATTCTTATGAAAGGACCTAAAGTATCTTCTTACCTTTGCTCACACTGTGCCCCAGCCTTCCATCCCACCCCTACCCTCACCCCATCTGCCCCAGGACCAGAATGGACCTGCTGCCTTCACCAACCTTCTGCTGCCCCGTCCCTAGTCTTACTTGGAGTGTTGCTGTTCCTCCAAAACCCAAATCTAGTTTCACCTACTCCCCATGGCCTTCCCTGTCAAATTAAAGGGTCTTCTCTCTCCTCAAATGTCTATCACTCCTCATGGACCACTCCTTTGGACTGAACTCAACCCATTCTGTTTATATTTCACCTACACACTACATGCTACATCTGCACCCATCTAATACTTCATGGGAGATCGAAGAATGTTGGGTTAGAAAGAGATCTTAGAGGCCATCTTTGCACATATCATAGCCCGCTATTAGGTTTTGAGTAGGGTATAGACTTTGTGATGACTTCTCAGGCTCCAGAGAACAAAGAAAGAGATCAACAGGCCTAAGTTTCCTTTTCCTGAAAATTACTCAAACCTGTGGAATCTGCCCCCCCCCCCATTGCCATATCAGTATTAAGTTTGCCAAATAAGGACATATACATTTTGACTGGTTATACCTTGTTTCCTTGTTTTTTGTCTGGGGTGGGGGGTAGATTTTCGTGCTTAGAATTTGGGCCCTGCCTCCCAGCCAATGGGAACTAAGGGGCAGTGGTGGGTAGTGGGGCTTATTTGTGATAGGGTACATAATTTCACTTTGTCCTTTGGGTCTTGCCTCTCTCCTGCTACTGGAGGAGTAGACGCCCCTTCTCACGAGATTGTAATAAAGAGTAATTTTTGCTTCCTTGACAAGTCTCTGAGTTTTATTGTGTTAGAGTCACTGTCCCACACAGTTTTAAATTTCTTCAAGCCAGGAATGTCATTTACCCTTTCTTTGTGCCCCCCATAATACTTAGTACAGGGCCTTAGTCAAGGATCATAAATTTAAAGACCTAAGAGGCAGGCAGCCCTCAGCGGATAGAGTGCTGGGCCTGAGGTCAGGAAGACCTGAGTTCAAATATGGGCTCAGACACTTGCTAGTTGTGTAACCCTGGGCAAGTCATTTAACCCTGTTTGCCTGAGTTCCTTACCTGTAAGATGAGCTAGAGAAGGCAACTGGCATCTGAAAAATGAGCTGGGCAAGTCACTTAAGCTCTGCTTGTCTTGATCCACTGGAGAATGAAATGGCAAACTACTCTAATATCTTTGCCAAGAAAACTCCATGGATTGTACTGGTGTGCTAAGGTTCATGGAGTCACAAAGAGTTGGAAATGATGGAATAACAAGAAACCTGAAAAGTCATCTAGTCCAACCCCCTTATTTTACAGATGAATAAACTGAGGTACAGATTGGTAAAGTGACTCGTCTAGGTCTAGAAAGGTAGTCAGTGGCAGAGCTGGGATTCAAACCTAAGTCATTTGACTCCAAATCCACCTGTCTTTCCACTTCACCACACTGTTTTAATAGTAGGCACTTAGCAAATATTTATTGAATAAATGGATAGATCTTCGAGGTCAGGAAGGACCTAACAATGGAGGAAGGGAACTGGCAGAAGGGCCTCGGTGGCTAAAGGGCCAGTACTTTCCACAAAAGCCCTAAGGTTATTCATTACATTTGTATAGACTGGATTTACACCCATTGTACCTCAGTCTCCTTGAGAATGTTTATGCCCATCCTAGGCCCTCTGAACATTCCTGCTCCTTCACTCTACCCCCTCCCTATCCACACGCTTCAGCTCTCTTTTCTGCCTATCTGGGCAATGAGCACAGGTGACTGAGCAATGACAGCAGAGTAATCAGAAGCTTAGGGGCTGACAGCCTCAACACAGAGGGTTCGTTGGGTAATAATCAGAGAACAGAGGACAGAGCATAACTTTGTAAAGGGTCCCTGGCAGGGCAGATGATCTCCCTGCCGAGGATACAACAAGAAGTTTGGGAGTAGGAAGGTCTGAACTAATTTTCCCAATCAGAAAAAGGAGACTAGCTCCTCATTTCTGGTAAGGAGTAATACAAGCTGCCTGGGAGCAGAGAGAACGCACAAGGGTACATGATGTTCTATATGACCCCAGGGCCTCTCCCTACCTTTGCACACAGCAACTCAGGGCCAGGAGGTAGTAGCTGCCCCAAAGATCTGCACTCAGCACCCTAGATTCTGGGGAATTTCCCTCTGAGTCATAACCTGGGCACAGAGCCCACAACTCAGCCAAGTAGTAGGGCTGAGTGCAAGAGACTCATCTTGGGCAAGGAGGAAGGGGGCAGAGCCTTTGCACTCATTCTCCTGTTCTGCTATAAAGGGAGGAGCTGGACGGGTCCCTCCACAACTCATCCTTCTAGCCTTCCAGCTCATTCTCCAGCCCACTTGCTCCAGCCCTGTCAGCTATGGACCCCAACTGTGACTGCACAAATGGTAAGGGACTCCTAGGTTCTCAGGTTGTCTTAGGGGCCAGGAACCTGGGCTCTGCCCTGGCTTTGATTTATGCTGAAAAGGAAAGGCTTGGGAGGAAAGAAGCTGCTGTTAGCATGGAGAAAATGGTTGGATTGGCTCTAAAGTGGAGGAACTGAAAGCTTTTATCCATTTCATAGAGAGAAAGCCCTAAATGACAAATGTGCTGAACAGTGGGGACCCAGGGATAGGAGCAAGTTGGAGAAGGGCGCTTTTATTGAAGAAAGTGACTGCTGGGCTCCTCGAGTTTTAGAGGGGGATGATTAGGGTCCCAAGATCTGGAATCCGTGATAAGCAGAGGAGCAGTCCATTAAGCCCTTGGGTTTTACCATAAAATCTAATGGTTGTGCCCTCATTTTAGGGACCTGGAGGAGCTGGGGGGGAGATTGGGGAATGAGAGGGAAAGGATAATCCCATAATTTTGTATTATCCTGAAATCTGCCCTGGAGCTCTGCCCTGATTGGATGCTAACCACTGCTTCCACCCCCACCTCCCTCTCTCTCTAGGTGGCTCTTGCACCTGCGGTGACTCCTGCAAATGCAAATCATGCTCCTGTACCTCTTGTAAGAAAAGTAAGTGTACTAAGAATCTGGGGGTAGGGTGGGGTGGGGATCTTCCATCTTCTGAACGAAGCAGCCCTGGCCTTATCAGAGAGATATCTGTACAGGCCTGGAGGAAGTGGGGTGGGGTTGGGGGTTCAACTATGTCACTGCAGTCTCAGTATCTCCAGTACCTGGAATATCATCATCATAGGTTGTATTTGTGTAGTGCTTTTAGGTTTACAAAATGCTTTACAAATATTATCTCATTTAGTTCTCACAAAAACTTTGGGAGATAGGTGCTATTCCTCTCTCCATTTTACAGATAGGGAAACTGAAACAGACAGTGATTAAATGGCTTGGCCAGGGTCTCACAGTTAGTAAGCATCTGAGGTTACATTTGAACTCAGATCTTCCTGACTCCAGGGCCTAAATGCCTTCACTGTTCCCCTTAGCTACTTATAGTACAGGCACATAGTTGGTGATTATTTGAAATATAGCTAGGAGGGAGGGAGCTGATTTCCTCACAGAGCTATATGTTCCAAATAGCCCCTAAAATGTTTGGGTCACATGGGATCCATCCTCTGACTCCCCACTGATGTCCCTGGGTGGGCTCTGCCAGGTGCTTAGGTCAGGACCCCTCACACTCACCTCCGGTCTTTCCTTCTCAGGCTGCTGCTCCTGCTGCCCGGCAGGATGTGCCAAGTGTGCCCAGGGCTGTGTCTGCAAAGCCCCCCAGACGGAGACTTGCAGCTGCTGCCACTGATGCTCCCACCTTCCTGTGCCTGTAGAATAGACGAATCTGCATGTTTTCATGCACCATGAATGTTTTTCTACTTTTTCCCTTTGAAATATGTAAATGAAAATAAACTGACAATGCTTTTCTATGTGTTGTTGTGTTTTGTGTTTGGAGGAACGATAATGTCATGGTTTTTTGTTTTTTTTTTTTAAGACTTGCTTTAGAGTGCTTTATTTGAGAGTTAGGAGATGAAAGAGAGGCAGAGCTAACAAGCTGCAAACTTCCCAACTTCCTTCCCACTCATTCCCCTCAAAAATCTGTTTATGAATCTCTGGAATATTGATCCCATCCTTCTCTATTCCTAACTGCTCCCAGGATATGGGGAGAGCTCAATCCACCAACTGCCAGACCTTAAAGCCAATTTTTGGGTCCCTCAACTCTTTTCTCTCATCTCCTCTGCCCAAATATGGGCTAGCCCTTCAGCTTGAATGCAGGGCTGAAGGAGAGGGGAGAATGCATTCCCCTCTGGGAAGGGAGCTGGGGAATAGAGAGCAGTGAAATGAGGGGCCCCACAGTGGGGTATAATGCCATGTTTGAGGTTTACATATGTTATTCCATTTCCACATCATTAAGGTTTAAAAAAAGCCTTTCATACTCAAACACCTTGTCAGGCAGATATAACAAGCACTTACTAAGTGCCTACTATATGCCAGACATCATGTTAAGTACTAGGGTGACAAAAAAAGGTAAAAACAGTTCCTGCTTTCAAAGAGCTCACAGAATAATGGGATAGTGTATCATTAACACCATTTTATAGAGGAGGACACTGAAACTCAGAGCTTCAAAGGGTTTACCCGTGGTCATTCAGCTAACAGTAGGCAGCACTTAAACCAAGGTCCACTGACTTCAGATTCAGTGATCTTTGCATGACAGGACATTGCCTTTCTAAAACATTACTGTGTTAGTCAGAAATAAGGGACATGGAGCCTCAACCAAGGAGGCAGATCAGTTTTGGAGACTGTTCCAATAAACATAGTATGCTCTGAGTTAATCATGGGTTCCAGAATATTTTAGCTGGAAGGGACCAGAGGAATTTATTTAAACCCTAATATTTTAGAGGAAGAAACTGAGAACCAGGAAAGGAAAGAAAAATTCTCCAAAGCTCACACAGCTGAAGACAAGATCAGACAGCCTGCCGCACCCTAGCACTTGTGCCACCCCCCCCCCCCACCCCCGCCAGCCACCAGGTCCCCATCAGTTCTTGAGTGTAGACTCCTGAGAAGGTTTCATGGGAAGCTGACTTTCAAGTTATTTCCATATCGTAAATTTACATGTTAAGACTATTTGTGAATCTGTAACAAAAGTCAGAGCTATCTTCTGGAATTGAAGTTTTCAAGAATTTCCCAGTTGTCTCTGTGTCTCACAAGAGAGAGCATGTATGGGAATCCTTTTACATCCCACAACATTTACTGCCTACTCTTGAATGGGTAATGGAAGAAAACATGTCCTAGAGGGTGTGTTGTTTTACTTATTTGTTAGGTGGAGGGAATGAGGTTGGCTTAATTAATCTTGACTCTTGGCTCTCAAACTCCCTAATTTCTAAGGGTATTAACATTCATTATATATCAAAGACTAAATCTGCTTACATGGATCCTATTCAAGACCACACTAGTCCCATGAGTGCTTCCAAAAAGGAGGCATTGTGATGGTGTGATTTGAGCACAGGGCATCTCAGGGGGGATGGTGAGGGCAGAGACCCGGGCCAGAGTTTGCATCTGGATCTTCAGCTAAATTAGTGTTGGGTTCATCCCCTCTATATCTTGTCCCTTAGCCCTCCAGCTCATTTTCTTTCAGAGTCCTTCATCCGCCAGTGAGAGACTCCAAATGTGACTGGGAGGTGAGGGTTCTCTGGCTGCCTCAGGGAATAGGGCTCCCGTGTCTGCTTTGAGTTGGAGTCAGGCTCAATTTCAGGATAGGCTCTGGGGCTTTGAAGAAAGGAGGTGTAACCTGAGGGTCTTAGAGGCTTTGGAAACTGGAAAGATGTCGGGTTTGGTTTTGAAATGAAGGAACAGAGAAATATCCCACTGGCTTCCTATTTCAAAGGTTCAGAGAAACAGAGCTTTGAACTACAAATGTGCTTAACCACCAGGGCCCCAGGATAGGGATAGACTTGAAAAGGGCTCTTTTGAACCAGAAGCAGACTTTAGGGCTCCTTCCAGAAATGTGCTTTTTTTGTGGAGATGGGGGTGGTGATCAGGTTGCCAACAATGGGGAGCAATTAGGTTCAGGGTTTGGATCTGGGTTCTTACAATTGGGAGAAAATGTTTCTCTGGGGAACTGAGAAGATGGACAGGCTGTTCAGAGCTTTGGGAAGATCTGAGGTCTGCACCCCTTTCCTGGTGACAATACAGAGGAGAGCTAGGGAATACAGACTGTAGAATGGGAAACGAGAGAGAAAAGAGAATTATAGGCCTTTATTTCCTATTCCTAAACCTGTCCAGAGCTCTGGGACTTTCCATGGTCAGACTTGAGCAAACCCTGCTGCATCCAAGAGATGCTTGTGTGGGCCTGCCTGGACATCAGCTCAGGAGAAGGCATGTGAAGTGGAGGCTCAATTCCTAGTGGTACACAGCCCCCAGAATCTTTTTTTTTTTTTTTGGCTAGGCAATGGGGATAAATGACTTGCCCAGGGTCACACAGCTAGTAAATCTCATGTGTCTGAGGCCAGGTTTTGAACTCAGGTCTTCCTGACTCCGGTGAGGTGTTCTATCCTCTGCACCACCTACCTGCCCCTCCCCAGAATCTTTCTTAAAGAGTCCCAGTAAGACAGCATCCTTCTTGTGCTTCTGAGATCCATCCCCACTGATATGCCTGGAATTTTTGACCCTTGTTAGACTGCCCTCACGCTCTGAACTCCTGTTTGCTCTTCTCAGGGTCCTACTCCTGCTACCCACTGGGATGTGCCAAGTGTGTTCAGGACTATGTCTGCAACCTCCCTCCCAATTGCAGCTATAACTACACTATAGTGTAGCTATCACTATAGATATCAGTAGCTACTGTTACTGATATCCCTATCTCTCTGTGCCTGTAAAGGGAGGGATCTGTACACACCTGGTTTTTTATATACCTTGGACATATTTCCTAACCCTTTCCCCTCTTCTGAAATGTGGCAATTAAAATAAAACCAACACATACCCTTCTCCTCTTGTTGAGATGAGTGGATGAGGAATAAGGAATACTAACCTCAACTCCTTGTACAGAGATGCTGTGGAAACCCCATAGGGAAACAGAGATCTTTTTGTCCAATACTGCCACTTTGTAAAGAAAGAAACTGAGGTCCTGAGAGAAATGACTTGACCAAAATCATTTAACGTCAGAGTTGGGCCTAGACTTCTTAGGTTTTCTAACTCCTAATCCAAGCCCTTTCCTACTATCTCAATAAATATTGTGAAAGGGAAGAAAAGGGGAGTTATACAGTGGGGCAAAAACAATTTGGAGGCTAGAACTTGGGTGTTCTGATGCCAGATGGCCAGAGTCTCATTGAACCATGATACGTTAGCTTTAGCCAGAAAAGCTTCTATCTCAGGTCCTTTGTAGATACATCATTGATCCCTCAGTATGTTAATGAGTTCAAGAAATGAGAATAACAGGTAAGAGAAAAGAGCTTAGGTCCATGGACCCCCTGGGAAGCCCTTTTTCATACTTCTGAGCAATTCTGAGGATTGGTTCCCAGGAAAATAAACTCCAAATTTCCTTTGCCATTTTTCTCCTCTGTAAACTGGGATCCTCTGTCCTGCCTATCATATAGGGTTATTGTAGGGAATAAATGAGATCATAGATATAGAAATGCTTTGGAAAATCGAGATATGTGAAGTTTTGTTATTGTTAATGAAAGCAGTAAATGGAGTTTTGGCCCCAGAAAACAGATATGAGAAAATGCCCCTATCTCAGTCCTTTATAGAGTAGGAGGTCCAATTAATCGTATTTTCAGACTTTCCCCATGAATTAGTTGGTTTTGCTGATTTTTTCTCTTCTTTTTCTTTAAAAAATATTATTTGACATCTAAGATGGCTCTCTGAAAGGGGGGAGGGGAAAGGATCCTGGGAGAAACGTTGGTGAAGTAAAAAACAAAAGATATCAAATAAAATTTATTAAAAACAAAAGGCCAATGGAATTGTATTATTCTTGGGCTGGAAGGGAGCAGAAATAGGGCCAAAGGCTTTGGTGCTTACCCAGGAAGCTCAAGGAAAGGAGAGTTTTGGTTATTCATCCATATAGTTAATTCATAATTTCCACATCCACTGTGTGGGGCAACTAGATGGCACAGCGGATAGAGCACTGGGCCTAGAGTCAAGAAGGCTCATTTTCCTGAGTTCAAATCTAACCTCAGACACTTACTGTGTGACTCTGGGCAAGTCACTTAACCCTATTTGTCTCAGTTTCTTTATCTGTAAAATGAGCTAGAGAAGGAAATGGCAAACCACTGTAGTATCTCTGCCAAGAAAACCCCAAATGGGGTCACAATGACAGGACTGAACAACCTCTACTGAGCATACACAACATTAGAATACAATGAAGGACACAGTACTAAAATTGAACTGAATACAATACCATTTATCTATTGTGACACAGAATTGGCAAAGGTGGCAGGGCCTTGTTGGTCCCCTTCCCTTCTCCTCACCCCTCTCTTCCTCTCTCTCCACCCCACCCTCACCTCTACATCCTAGATGAAACCCTAGGGGGGAGCTGTTGACCATCTGCCCAATGGTCAACATTATAAGAACCAGGCACTATCAATTCCTAATTCACTCCAGCTGTTACTTGCATGATCTGCCCACATCCTGGACAATTAAAAACTCCTTATAGCAACCAGAGTTGGCTGCCTCTATTCCCTACCTCCCGACTTGTTCTGGAACTCATCTTGTTAGTTTAAAATGATAAGTACAGATTTGTGCAATGGAGCTCTTGACTCAGTCCCCAGCCATCAGAAAACGGCTTTCTTACCTTCATCAGGGCATTTCAATGCAGTTCATCATACAAGCATATAACATTGCTAGATACAGTTCTTTACTTATAAACATAGAAGAACAAAACTAAATTCAAATACATTAAATGACCACTATGCTGTCTGGGAAAGCCAAAATCAAGAGAGACATACACACACAGAACTAGGGATGAGATCAAGGAAAAAGTATGGAAACACAACAAAGACACAAAGAGAAAGAAAAACAGAGACACAAAGAAAGTGAGGAATGGAAACAATGAAGAATAGATAGAAAGAGTGAGAAATACAATGAAAGACTATGACAGGGTGAGTAAATAGACAAAGTAAGACAGAGATATTGATGTATACAGAGAAAAAAAATTGTGTGTATGCGTATGTGTATACACATACGCATACATACACACAATATATATGTGTGTATATGTGTGTATATATGTATATATGCACACACCCACAGATACACATACACAGACAAAAATAAAAGCAACAAAAGTCACAAAGAAGCATAAAGAGTCAGTGATATTAACCATCCCCAAACCCCAGGGATGAATTTGATTTGGAGTCATTCCTATTTCTCGTTTCTAACATCTTCCATCTCTATGTTAAGGAAGACTTCCTCTACCTATGTTTCAGAGAGATTCTGAGGGTTTTAATTTTTACTTGGCATTAACACTTCCATAGAGAAGTCTGTCTCTGGTGTCACTCTAAGCTGGGGTCACTGCTGGACATAGGCTAAGCTGGGAAGGAGGAAAATTCTTCTCTGGGTCAAAAGACCCCAGAAGTGTCTTCTAAGAGAGCTGCCTCAGAGCTTCCAATTCAAGTGGTATTTGTTACCTTGTTTGTATGTGCCTAACACTGTTTTAAGTTGCTGAAGGGAAATGGACTTTGTGATCTCCAGTGTGGATATACCCTTCACTGGTGAAGATTGCAGCCCCTCTGTACCCCATGCATGGCAATTCTTATTCATATCTTTTGTAAATCCTCTGTAAAGAAGCCACTTAATGTTTCAGAGGCCTTTCTCTGGTAATTTTTCATAATCAGGAGGTACCAATTCAACTCTCAAAATGTCTCCTCACTCTCACTGTAAGACCAGCCTTCCTATTTTTCTGATTGTGTGTGCCATGGGTAATGTATTTTAAACCACTTGTTCTAGTAAGGAAATCCTTGGTCATGTGTTTCAGCCTCTTCCTTGACCTACCCGGGGTCTCTCTGTGAATTCTTGGTAACCTGTAATTTTTATTTGTCTGAGATCAAAATGTTCCATAGTTATCATTGCCAGGAAAATATCGATTATTCAAATATGAGTTCTTATAGTAGCCAGGAATTTGGTCAGTTGAAAGTGTTTCATTTCTTCTCTCTTCCAGCTCTTAAATCCTGTGACTCAGTAACCAGAGGGCTGACCCAAACCTGGGACCCAGGAGGTGAAACTGCTAATTAGTGACCACAGAAGAACTAGCAAGACCTCTTTGGCACAGGATCCTGACTGAGGATGAAAAGTCCCCTTGTTTTGAATGAAGGACACCCGAAGAACAGCCCTAAACCTTTGGACCTTCACAATCTCTCTCATAACTGTCTCGTTCCCACTCACACAGCCATCAGCCTGCTTTAGGCCTCTATCACCCGAATTACTGCATTAGCCTCCTAATGGGTCTTCTTACCTTATGTCATGGCCATCTCTGGTTTTCTTCAGGTACAGGTGTGACCTTGTAATGTCCTTATTCAATTAACTCCAGTGTGTCCCTATAGGATCCCTCTAGGATCAACTATGAGCTCTTCTGGCATTTAAAACCTTTCACAATCTAGCCCCGACCTTCCTTTCCAGACTTACTACACAACAATCTCGTTCAGGTTCATTAGAGTCCGGGTTAGCTGGCTTGGTTATTGTTCCTCGTATATAGCACTGCACCTCCTGTCCCCACAGTTTGTACCTGCTGTCCCTCATGCCTGGGATTCCCTCCCTCTTTACCTCTGACTCTTAGAAAGCTAGTTTCTTAAAAGGCTCGGCTAAAGCACCAACCCCTGCATGAATCCTTCCTTGATCTCTCTAACTTCCCCATCTTTAACTGCTAGTGCCTCCCCCCTACCCCAATCACGTTATATACATAATTTGTATATCCATTTATAGACATGTTATTTTCCTCAGTGAGAGTGCAGACTCCTCAAGGGCAGAGACTGTTTCAGTTTGAGCCCATAATCACCATCGACTGGCACAGAGCATAGTAAACTTTTAATATGCTTGTTGATTGATTATTTGAATGTTGCCTTCCAAGTCCTCATAAGATTCATGCTCATCCTGGAACCTCTCCACATGGCTCCAGATCCCCAAATCTTTCTCCTTCCCAGGTCTCCCAACACTGCTGTCACCCACATCTGGTTCTCATGAAAGCAGAGCCTGCAGTTAATTTGAGTTTGATGGAGAGGAAAGGACATTTATTGCTGAGGGTTTATGAGACCATTAAAGTGGTCAGGGACCTGTGATGCCTTTGCACAAGACCCCTCACAGGAAATACAAACTCTATGCAAAGATACATGTGAAGTCTGGGCTTCCCAGACAGGAAGGATACCAGGTCATATTTTCACGTACGCCTGGGTGCCAGAAGGTGGGGGAGGTATCTGAGCTCTACAGCGTGTTCTTTCTTCTCTGCACACAGCCCCTCCAGTGTGAGAGGCAGCCCAGAGATTTGCGCTTGGCACCTTCTGACTTCTAAGTCAAAACATAGATTCACAAGGCAATGTGTAAAGAGCCCAGGAGTCAGCACAACTCTGGGGTTGTGTGCAAGAGGCTGGCCTTGGGCATGGGGGAAGGAGGGGAAGGAAGGGGGCAGGGCCTTTGCACTCATACTCCCAGTCCTTCTGCAATAAAGGGGAGGACACCATTCTTTCCCTCCACGCCTGAATCCAACTTCTAGATTGTTCTTTCACCCGGGACAACTTCATATCTGACATCTATCTGCCGGCCATGGACCCCAACTGTGACTGTGAAAGTGGTAAGAGACTCCTGGGTTCTGGTAACACCTCCAGGACAGTAATCCCCTGCCTGCGCTTAACCGTCTGGGCACCAGGGATAGGGCAGATCGGAAAAGGGCCTTTTTTCACAGATAACTGACTTTAGCATCCTTTTTGGAAACGTGATCCCTAATGACTAGATCAGGATGAGTCAGGGACTCGGGGTGTGTCAAGTTGGGGTGGGGGAGAGCTCCTGAAAATAGAGAACAATTTAGATTGACTTCTGTCCTTCCTGGTGGTAGAAGATGCTTTTCTAGCGATCTGAGAAAGGTAGTGACAGCCTCCTTGGCTTTGTTAAGGCAAGCCTGGGAAGAGCCCAGAGCTAATATCTCTTCTTGGTGACTGTGGGAACCAGGTTTGGGGAATGAGCTCTAGAAGGAAATGAGAATCTCAGACTTGTGCTTCCTACTCCCAAGCCTAGCTAGAGCTCTGGGATGTTTCTATGCTCATCCTTAATGTTTTTCTTCCTCAAGGTGGCTCTTGTACCTGTGCAGGCTCCTGCAAATGTAAATCCTGCCGATGTAGCTCCTGCAAGAAAAGTGCGTTAGAGTGTAATATGTTGGGGAATGGGTGTGGGTGTCTTGGGGAAAATCCTTTTCTGGTTTGAACTAAACAGCCCCTGACCCATCAGAGAATACCCGAAAAGCCCTGGGGATCAGTTCAGGAGTTGGGGCTTTGGGGACTCATTTCTTAGTGGTACCAAGTCCTCTACATCTCCCCTAAGAGGTAAAGCAACATCCTTTCCTTGCTTCTGAGGCACACCCCCGAACTTGAGCTCTGCCAGGCTCTCAGGCCAGGACTCATCGTACTTATGTCCTGTTTTCTCTTCTCAGGCTGCTGCTCCTGCTGCCCAGCAGGATGTGCCAAGTGTGCCCAGGGCTGTGTCTGCAAAGCCCCCCAGACAGAGACCTGCAGCTGCTGCCACTGATACTCCTGTCTCCCTGCGCTTATAAATAGAGGAATTTGTACAGATCTAGCTTTTCATACACCATGAATGTGCTTTTTATTTTGTTTCTATGAAATGTGTGAATAGAAATAAAACCATTACATATCCTTCTATCTCTGAACCTCTTGTGTGTTTGTGAAATAAGAGACAGTAAATCTCAACTCTGTGAATGGAGTAGCTTTGGAAGCCTCATTCAGGGGTGGAAAATTCTGGCAGGACTGCTAATCTTTGACCTGTCAGATATTTGAACCAAAGGAAACTTTTCAGACCACTTACTCTAACACTGCCATTTTACGTAGGCCAGTACTGAGGTATAAAGCAAAGAAAGGAAATAAAATCATATGGACTACAATCCCAAGTTTTTGACTCCTTATTAATCATATGATTTTATTTCCTTTAAATATTTGTTGACTAGATAATTGGAATTATTGCATCATAGTAAGCCAATGTCAGAGTAGAGATGGAAACCAGTGTGTTCCAACTCTTGATTCCTAATCTTTTTTTCTTGAACCATAATTCTGCAAAGATGATTAATCACTGAGTCTTTGCAGACACATCATTAGGTTCCCATACTCATTAAGAATTTAGGAAATAGAAATGGTATATGAGAGGAAAGATCCTAGATTAGAAACATAAATCTCTCCCAGAAATGCTTTTTGCTCCTAGGAAATGGTAAGAATAGCTGTAAGTGGTTCCTCAGGACAGGAAGTTCAACCTCCTAGTGACTCAATTTCCTTATTTTTAAAATGGGGATCCCTTACAGAATTCTTGTGAAGAGTCAAATGAGAACACAAATGTTCGATTACTTTGGAAAGGTAATGGAGCTATTTGTGTATGAGAAAATAATTGTTAGGACTATTACTATTATAATAAAGACCTGGATCTATTTTGTTCTCAGTACTGAAAGAACTAGAAAGAGATGCTTGTGAAGAGCGTGATAATCTATTTCTCTGTGGGCTTACTTGGTATCCTGGTGCTACTGAGCGGTAGATTGTGCAGGGGTGGGGAACCTGCAGCCGCGAGGCCACATGTGGCCTTCTAGGCCCCTAGGTGTGGCTTTTCAACTGAGTCCAAGTTTTACAGGACAAATCCCTTTATTAAGGGTTTTCGTTCTTTGAAGTTTGGATTCAATCAAAGGGATGCATTTAAGGACCTAGAGGGTCACTTGTGGCCTCAAGGCCACAGGTTCCCCATCTGGTGAACCTTCCTTCTTTCTCTTCCATCTCTTCTCTCCCCTCCCCTCCACCCATGTCAGACCTATTCCTCTGGTGTCTTTATCTTACTCTTCCCTCCCTTTTCATTGTGTCCACTGGAACCCTGTTCCACTTCTTAAATAACCGCCCTTTATATTCATCCTGTGACCTTCCCCTGGAAATTACTTTGTATGTACAGTATTTTGTTTTTACTTATACCTATGCATATTGCTTCCCTCCTATGAAATATAAGGGTATAATTGTCCTGTATTCTAACATATCTCTCACAGTGCCTGGCACATAATAGGCACTTAAATGTTGAGTTGGATTATATGAATAGCTGTTGGATTATGTTGGATTATACCAAATTGGATCACAGGCACTGGTTACTCAGGCAATGGCACATTTTGGTTATTTAAATATTCTGGTTAATAAAAAGTTATCACATATATTAGAAACAGTTTGGCTTTTCTCAAAGCATTAGAACATAATGAATGAATGAATTTAAGAATGAAAACTTGACTGAACCCACCTGGCTGTGGGGGCATAGGAGACCCTTGAGCTTTTTTTTTTTTTGGCAAGGCAATTGGGGTTAAGTGACTTGCCCAGGGTCACACAACTAGTCAATGTCAAGTATCTGGTCAGAGATAAGATTTGAACTCAGGTCCTCCTGACTCCAAGGCCATTGCTCTATCCACTGCACCACCTAGCTGCCTTGAGGCCTGTGAGTCTTGGCAGGGCCCCAGGGCCCTCTTTCTGAATATCACCTCTCACTAGACCAGGAGCTATATTTATATCACAGACTGACCTTAGTGCTCCTGATTTCCCATAATGAGAAAGTATAAGCTCCATGGCAAGTTGCTGTGAGGGAGGAGACAGGGGAAAAGTAGAAGGGATTATCCCCTCACTTTCTTTAGCATTTTCCACTGCAGAGGATGAAATAGACTTTATGGTGACATTCTTCCCTAATCTACTCCTCCAAGATACCTTTATGACTTCGACACTTCACATCCTTCATTAAAGACTTAAATTCTAAACCTGAGCTCCTAGTAATGTGTTTCTCACTTTCCCTATGTCATGGAACCTTTTTTGAATATTTCCTTACCAGCTCCCAGACTCACACAGGGCAAAGCAGGGATCATGGAGCTAAAGAGAGAGAAAAGTAGAGACAAAGAGAGAGAGAGATACAGGGAGAAAGAAACAGAAAAGGATGTAAGAGAGCTAGAGCTAGAGAAAGACAGAAGGATGAGGAAAAACAGAAAAATCAGGAAAGACTAAAAGATAGAAATAGAGAGAGAAGACAGGCTGATGGAGAACACAGTAAGAGACCGACTCAGACAGAGATGCAGAGAGATGGAGAGAGAGAAACATCTCTAGGACATCATTGGCTAAAGAGCTGAAAGGAATATTTTTTTCACTCTAAAATGAAATTTAGATATTCTCCTTGCATATTGTCTTCTGTCCTTGACTCCCATCTCTCGCCTCAAAGTTTCTTTTGCTGGGGAGCAAAGAATTTTCTTCTGTGTGCCTTTGAGAGAATGCCAGTGATCTCCCTATTTGCTTGGCTTTAATCTCTCAATAAGAGAAGTCCCTCTCTTCAGTTTCCCTCATCTGGGGGTATTGCTAGAGGGAATGTTGGGAAGGAGAGAGGCCTTTTATGTATCCTTGGCCCCGGGGCCACATGGATTCTCTCAGCTTTTCAGTTTGGAAGGAAAGATCAGGAAGTGTCCATTATGAGAGCTCTCTTACCTTCAGTACCCAATTCAATAAGCATTTGTTTCTCTCCTGCTGTGTGACCGGTACTGTGTTTGCTACTGTGGGATTGGACTACATTGGATGTGGAGTCCTGGGGCTGAGAATGTTAAAATGGATGTCAATCATTAGCACTCAGGCTCTGTTTCTATTGAGCTTCTTGAACATCGAATAGGTTCCCATTGCTCCTTATTCTAGACCTAGACCAATTTGCCCTTAGGTGCTCTCTGCAATACAGATATATCTGTACAGTGAACACTGGAACAGAGACTTAGGACTTGACCTGACTTCTCATGAAGATTCTTCCCCTCACTACATGACATTGAGCAGATTCCTTGCCTCTGGGTCTCAATTTCAGCCTCTAAAATGAGGTAGTAGTAAGTTTCCACTAGGGACAATGTCTGCTTTAACTTTTAGTTAACAGTTGGTCAATAAATATTTTATTAAGAACCTCCTACCAGGCATTGTATTACTTACTGGGGATACAATCAAGAAAATAGGAAGATAGTCCCTGACCTCAAGGAGCTTACCATGTAATGGGTGAAGACAACATACAAAAGTAAGCAAGAAGGGAAGGAAGCTAATCAGTGCAGAGTGGAGGTGGTGGGGGATGGGGGTATGATGGAGAAGTCCAGAGAAATGCAGCTGGCTGGGAAATGAAGTGGAGGCTGACCTGGGCTCCCTCCTTAATTAGAGGTTCTGGGAGGAGAGGTCTCTGCCCTCCAGTCAAAGGATTATTTAGCAAGCAGGTATGATTATGATTTCTCTTTGTTTTACAAATCTGGGAGATGTGGAAAATGCCAGGACCCACAGATGGGGATTCTGAAGACCAGAAAGGTCTTCAGAAGCAGGAAGCCAGTGACAATTCTTGAGGACTTAGTACCATACAGGGCTCTGGAAGAATGGGACTGAGGGTGACAAAAGAAACCGGAGAATCAATTCCTACCCTTCAGAAGTTAATGGACCTGTTGGAAACACACCAATACATGCCCAGGAAGGAGTAATTAAACAATACAAGTCAGTATTCGATGAGAACCAAATGAGTGGTTCAGTGTTATAGCTCAAAGAAGGGAGTTAGGAATCCTTGATAAGACTGAGAGGAGAACTCACCGATGGCTGTCTTCGAGGGTCTCAAGAGCTCAAGAAGGATGTTGTTTCTGCTACTTGGCCCCAGAGAGCAGAACTAGGAGTGAAGGGTAGAAACTGAAAAGAAGCAGCTTTAGACTTGATCTAATTAATAACAACAGCAAAGCAGGGCTGCCCAAAGATAGAAAGGGCTGTCTTTGAGGTTGGTAAGCTCCTTCTCTTCCGGTGGTTTTCAATCAAAAGGTGGCTGCCGTCTTCTGATGATGTTTTAGAGAAAATTCTTCTTCAGGTACACATTGGACTAGATGGCCTCAAAGATCTCTTCCAAATTTAAGAGGCTTTGAAAATACTACTTCGAAAATCCTTCTAAGTTCTGTGCTAAACAGCCATTTCAAGCAGACTTAAGGAGGGGAAGAATGAACAGAGGAAGGGAGGTCAGGGAATCCCAGGCACCAGGAATCAGCATGGAGGAGGAAGAGGGAAATTGGTTCACGGCAGCTGTAGGGAATGCTGAAGAAGGGCTGGCTCAGCTCTTCCGCTTGTTTTCTTTATTTGTATCTGTGTCACAAGCATTGACCCAGTGTGCCATATTCATACAACCTATGCCTAGCAAGTAAAATGCTAACTCTTGCCAGCTTTTTGTTATTCAGTCATTTTTTCAGTCATGTCCAACTCTTTGTGACCCCATTTGGGGTCTTCTTGGCAAAGATATTGGAATGGTTTACCATTTCCTTCTCTAGCACATTTTACAGATGAGGAAACTGAGGCAAACAGGGTTAAGTGACTTGCCCAGGGTTATACAAACCAATAAGTGTCTAAGGGCAGATCTGAACTCAGGGAGATGGTTCTTTCTGACTTCTAGGCTAGCTAGGCCACGTAGCTGCCTTGTCTCATGCCAGCCTTTCTCATATTATCTCATCATGTATTTTATACTTGAAATTAATAACTTCATGTATCTCAAGTGCTTCCAGATTTTTCTTGGTCATACCATTCCCTTCATCTGCAATTTTCTTGCCTTTTCTTTTGTTGGAAAAATGGAATAAACCCAGAGTTTGGAGCAAGATTTTCTTGGAGTTGTTGCATCATAGGA